GCAGAAGCTCTCCAGGATTCTTCATTGAAGTAAATTTTCTGATCTTCTTGAGCTTTTCCAAAAGAAGCACCTGAAAGTGGGACCAATGTCCATGCTAAAGGTTGTCTGCAGTTCTGTCCTGCTGGCTGCTGTGCTGGCCACCTTTGCACTCAGCTGGGTTTAGCAGGGGCATTCTGAAATGGAGAAGGTTTCTTGCCTTCCCTCACAGATGTCTGGTGGCACTGGTACTTCAGTAGGGAGCAGAGGGCTCATTCACCACTGTCACTGTGAATGTTCCCTGTAATCACTGCTGGACTAATACTGGTGGTGCTGTGATGGAATTCTTTGTTCATCTCAGACTTTCAAAACTTGGAATTGGTGTCTTTTTTACTGTTGCTCAGTATTAGCCTGTGCTCTTCTCTGGTTTATTCTCCTACCTTGTTAAGAATTCTGAAATAATAGACGTGCAGTTTTTTGCTTTTATTCTCAATGAATACTGGCATAAAATTCTGTTTTCTAATGGATACATACTACAATGATTTTACAGTGATTTCACGAATAGAACACTGACCCAGGTTAAATAATGCCAAGGTTCTAATATTTCCAGAGGAAACAAAGAAAATCCAAGTCTCAGTTGACAATCTGATCCTTAGTTTGTCCTTTTGTACTCCTACTGTAAATTTTATGCAAAGGTCACAGCAGTGCTACGTCACGGGCTTTAGTAACCCTTTAGTATTTACACTTTCTGTAGGTTCTGTAACTATATAAACAGAACAGATTGCTTCTGATATTCTTACATTAAAAAGCATGGAGTATTGCACATCTCACAGCATTAATCTCAAATGCATTTCTCATCTAAATCCATATTTCACAGTGCAGATTTGATGTGTTTAGTCATTAAAAAATGCATGCATACTTGTGAGCAACTGTGTGTGCATGAGTGCAATAGAACTAGGGTCTCAATTTCTGTTTAAATATAAAGCTGGACAAATAACAGGAATATTGATAACAGCATTAACAATCTCAGTGAGAGAAAAACTTTGCACAGAACTGAATGCAAATACCTTGTCTGGACAAAATTGAATTTTTCAGAACTGTAGCAAACTCTGTCTTTGCTCATTGCTTTTCCCAGCTTTATTTGTACAAGTAGATGCTGTTTTTTGAAAAGGAGCACCAAAATTATGTTCATTCTTCCCACTGAAACATTCTGCTCTTGGCAAACTGTTGAAAGTGAGCTGTGAATAACTGATAAATAGGGTTAATAATTTTTAACAATGCCTTAGCTGTAACAGCAGCATTGTCAGGCTGGTGCTGCACCAGTGTGAAGGATTTGAAGAAGGCAATACTGGTACAACAAAGTCGGATAGTAATTCTTATTTTTATGCTGCAAACACTGATTTAATCACCGGTTTTCTCCATTAAACTACTTTATATCGACATCTTTCATTTTTCTGTCCTTTGAAGGTGGTAAATATGATTGCCATTTTATCCATTTTTGTTACAAATGAAACAGACTTCAGAGCGTTTGGCTGTGCATCAGTTGTTGGAATGCTGCCATACACTAATGCAGACTCCCCACTGTGAGCCCAGTGAAGAATTATACTTTGATTCACCAGATTGTATTAAATAGTCCAGCTGTTGGGATTTGAAAGATAGTTACCTCCAAAGTGAAATAAAAATGAACTTGGCATTTATGGCTTTGACCATTTTTATAGTGTTGGGCAATCAGCTTTTCAAAAGTAGCACTTTTAAAAATAACCCTCTTCTGGTTACACTGCTTTAAAAAGTTTAATTTGCTGTAGCATTCAAAATACCCCGCCTTGTATTTTTCTGGAATGATTGACAACTTTTGCATAAAATAAGCATTATTTTCCTTTTGAAATCACTAGCTTCTGATGATAATCAAATGAGTCTGAAACTGTATCTATTAGTGCCAATTTCTGCATTAATTAACTTATACCAAAATTCTAATGTTAGAGACAATTCTTGTAATTAAAGCTTGAACATGGAATTTCATTTGTTCTATCCAGTGCTGCAGCAGCAAGCTGAGTAAATTCTTTCTGAAATGGAAAGTGCAGCAACTGTTGTTTCTGTGGTTATTTTTTGTTTTTAACCTGTTCATTTACCCTCTCCCCATCACATGGGAGCTGGTGCAGTCCCCACCCAGAGTTCTGATTTTTGAGTGGGGTGACCTCTTCCTTCTTTGTCATTTTCTTTAGGACAAAGACTGTCACAATAAAGGGCATTTCATGGCAGATGGATCCTGTAGCTGAATTTTTTTCTCTGGCCCCGAGTTGATTCTACCTTTTCCTCTCAAGGGTGTTACCTTACCAGAATGGAAAACTGTTCCTTAAAAATAAACATAAAAATTTAGAGGAAAAAAGGACAAGCCTACAGTGCATGTAGGACCTTGCAGCTTGAGGGATTTCAGCACCTGCGCAGTCTGGGCTCTGTGGGTGTGGATGGTGCACCCATAGCGGCCTGTGAGGCTGAGCCTAAGGATGGGCCAGTGCAGTGTGGCTGCCGTCCCTGAGCCTGCCCAGCTCCCTGCCCACAGGCACTGGGCTGGGGGCTCTGGGGGCTCAGGCTCTGGGGTGCTAATGGTCTGGAAGGCTCAGGCTCTGGGGGATCTGGTTTTGGGGGGCTCAGGCTATGGGGCATTGGGTTCTGGGGGGCTCAGGCTCTGCAATGCTCAGGCTTTGGAGGCTCAGGCTCTGCAATGCTCAGGCTTTGGGGGCTCAGTCTCTGCAATGCTCAGGCTCTGCAATGCTCAGGCTTTGGGGGCTCAGTCTCTGCAATGCTCAGGCTCTGGAAGGCTCAGGCTCTGCAATGCTCAGGCTCTGCAATGCTCAGGTTTTGGGGGTTCAGGCTCTGCAGTGCTCAGGCTTTGGGGGCTCAGGCTCTGCAATGCTCAGACTCTGGGAGCTCAGGTTCAGGGGCTCAGGCTCTGGAGTGCAGGGTGCAGGAGGCACAGCCTGTGCTCTCAGGCTCTCTGTCTGCCCACCCAGCAGGGTTAAGGTGGCAGTGGGAACACCCCAGTCTGCCACTTGTTCAGGCTGAGCATTCCCAGTGTTTGCCATGTTCTCTGCTGGTGCATTCCAGCTAATCTAAGGATTTGCCTGCATGTTTTCAACACCAGTACAAAGCTTCTGAATACACACAAGTGCTTTTAGTGTTTATAAGCTGATGCCAGCTTTGACAAATAACCCAGGTGTCTCTGACCTTTCCTTCCTCCCTGCTCAGAGGCTTTTTTATCCCCAAGAATCCCTGCTCTGCAGACAATGGTGGTGTAACCCCATTTCTGCAGCACAGAGCATGGGTCAAACACCCTTGACAGTTCAGCAGACCAGTAGGTGAATCTCCAGAAATGCTCAGTGCTTGCTCCCAGTGAGGCCTGCAGCAGCCAAGGGAACACCTGGTTACTCTGTGCCTCAGTCATGCAGTGCAGCCCCCAGGCAGGTGGCTCTGGGATAGAGGTGTGCAGAAGCCATTTTTCAGTGCCTTATGAGTTCATTTTTCATCTTCCATGCCTGGCTTAACAAATGATTCAGGAGAGGGAATGTGACTGTTGCATTTTGTGCACTGCTATCTGTACGTAACAGCTGTTAAATCCATAAATCTATTTATTAGCTTAGCAGACCTGTCTTGGTTGTATGTGCTACTAATAGAAATGCTTTTCTGTGTTTTTATGTTTTTCTGCATATGTGAACTGTCACTTGTATTTATATATTTATTCTTTTTCTTCTAGATCAACTAGTCACACAGAATTGACAAGAAAAGCTTCTAGCAGTGAAAAAGAGACAGAATCCGTGGTAGTTTTAGATCCTGTGTCCACCAGTGGGGATCAAGTGTCTGAAAATGCCCTGAACCAGAACAAAGTGAAAGAGGAAAAAAGCAAGCCACTGCATAAAGAAACTAACGTTGGGAAAATGAAAGAAACAGATAGTTCTAGCTGTTAATTGTTACTCTGCAAGGCTGTACCTTTTGGGAATCATTATCTGGACATGTGAATTGCTTAGGTGTGTTACTAGGGGCCACGGTCTGTACTCCAGACAGAAATAATACAGATTGAAATGGTCTTTTGTATGCAGCTTTTGTTACATGCACTGAAGTGTTAAATAACTGTGTGTCACTCAAAATCCCTTTCCCATTTTAATTTTGCAGGTATGGCTATTAATTTCTTAGATTGTGTCAGTTACCTTTAAAAATGGATTTGAAGAGGCTTTTTAAACTCTTCTTTTATTGAGAAGATGCCTTGTTGAAGGTCTGTTCCAAAGCTTGCCAGAAGCCCCTTGCATCCCTCTTGAGCTGGACAGGTTTGGGTTAGACCCTGGAAGTGATTTCACCCTCATCAGCTTCAGTATGGAGGTGTTACTGATTATTAATAAAAATGTGTTTAGACACATTGCTCTAAAGATACCCACTTAAACCAAGATCTGGTTGGTCCCCTGCCTGCTGTCCCCACACAGGCAGGAAATGAAAAGCACAAGCACAACCCTTCTGTCTCAGATTGTCAGGGGACGGAGACTGAAATGCAGAGGCAGTGCAGCATCTCTTTGTGGTACCAGGATTTTTGGCAGTGATAGCCAGAGTCTGGGCTTTCAGTTGGGTTAAAAGCTTTGCAAAGAAAGACTTGTTCCTGAGTTTTGTTTCAATGTTACACAGCAGCTTTTGGAACTGCTGCAGCTGGAGTCTGTTTTTACTGCTGCACAAAACTAACTTGCCTTAGGCTCCAGTGGGTATGGGCTGCATTTGGGATTCATTCTAGGACTGCAAGTTATTGGGAATCATCAGCATTCTGAGAACTCCCAGCTGAAAGCTCACAGTGCTCACAAATGAGCCCTTGCTTTGAACCTGGCACACACTGGTGGCATTAATTTCTTTGTTAGGTGACACTTCAGGTGTCTGTATTTGATAACACAAATCCCAGTTTCCCTCAGCCCTTATTTCTATGGCAAGGGTGAGATAGGAACATCATTGATTTGCTCCACTGCCAATTCACATTCCATTGTGGTCTCTTTAAATTCAGCACAGTATCTCATTCTTTTATAATGAACAAATGGAATCAGGGATTTACCTAAAGATTGGTGTAACTGAAATTGGGTGGGCACGTACTTGAATGCACTTGGATTCTTTTTTATTTAATTATTTGAAACAGTGATAGTATTGAAAGGATGAATGTTCTGAGTTTGTTGGTTTGGCTCTGCATGCAACTGTCTGGTGCTTTTCCTAAAAATAAAATGATAGTAATGAGTGTGGTGGTTTCACATCTATTTTGGTGGTTTTTGCATGTTTGCTACGAAAATCTTGGACTTGATCTAATGACTGAATTACATACAGTTCATAAACTTGCAGGAATTTGTCTCTCACTGATATTTTCATTTCTTGGGGGCAGTTGGTTCTGGTTAATTTTTTACTTAGTTGTCTGTTACACTGAACTTAAAATGCAAAATTTCATATATGTATTTTTTCCTCAAATTATTGCTGCTGTATTATATGTTCAGATTTTCAAATTATGCAAAACCAAGAAGTTTTTCAAGAAGCATTTCTTTTACTTAAACTGTTTTGTTACCTAGAACATAAATTATTTCTTTAACTTTTCATTGTTGCTTATTAAAAAGACTCCTGACAAGTTTCCCAGACCTTGTGGAATTGACTTGTTACTCACTGCTGCCAACTGGAGCAGGCTTCCTACTGATGCCAGTCCCAGCTCTGTGCCCAGCATTTGGGGTTTGCACTTGTCTTGAGGGCTGCAAGTGGAGCAAAATCTTCTTTGCAGGCTGGATCTCAGAGCAGCACTGAGGGGGTGGGGAGGATGGAGCAGCAGAACACTCAAGGCCTTTGTTTTTCTGTAAAATGTGGTGTTCTGTTTGTGTTTGGGGTTTTTTTACTGTTTGTCAACAGCTTGCTCTTTGTATGGAGGGAGATTCTGATTTTCTCAAAACAAACATTTAGTTACTTAACACAGCGGTATTTGTTTTGTCAATTTGTAAATGCAGCACAGAATTTTGTGGTGTTTTCAGTGACTACAGTCACTGCTCAGTTAATTTGGTTTCAGCTGAAGGCAATGGTTCCTGGGAAAAGAGAAGCCAGTATTTGAAATCTTTTAGAGCTATCTGGCTGAACTGCTCAAAATTAAATGGATTTAGAAATAGTTAATATATAAGTTTCTTAGCAAATGTTTTTTCTTAGAAATGTATCCCAAAGTAAGTGTTGACAGCCTAGGTTAGTGTGCTGTTCTCTGGGAGCTGAGCAGGCGGCTGTGAATCTGCAGGGCTGGCTGAGAGCTGTGGAGGCAGCTAAACCTTCTGTGGGGCAGGAAGCACATCAGGAAGTTGTTGCTGGCTTTTCTTCAGCAAAATCAACAAATTCAAGTTTTGGTTTACCTGAAATAGAAGAAAAAGAAACAGGCAGCTCATGTTTGCTGTAATGGGGTTTGTTGTGATGTTCTTTTGGAAATGCCCCATGATGCTTACAGGGCTGGACACACCTTCAGAAGTCTGGTCCTTCCTTAGAAAGGAAGAACACTGTGGGTACAGGACCAGGCCATGGTCTACATGGCCTACACTGTTTGAGGAGGCAATATATTAATACTGCTGATGCAGTTAAAATTCATAGTTCTGTAATTACCTATCTTATCTTTGAAAAGTGCACTCTGTGAAACTATTAGCAAAAGAAAAAAAAAAGTTTCTGTTTTTACAATGCTTATTTATGAGCAAGGGGGAGTTTTCAGAAAGCTCAACATATTTTCAATTAAAAAAAGAATTTCAAGTAAAAACTTTGTTCTATAGCGTGCACGTCAAGTGCTGCTACCCTATGTGTAGAACACTGGAAATTATTACAAACAAGAGGGTAAAATGACTTAATTCTGCTTCGTGTTTCCTTTTCTTAGGCATAATACAATTCCTGCAAACCCTTTCCTTCCATTCTTCCTCTCCTTGTCTCCCTGCCTCCCCTTTAGACTGCATGTCTTTATTCTGGCTTGATTGATACCTGGGCAAGTTGAGAAGTGGCTCTAATGAACTGCTAAGCATTTAACAGTGCCTTGGTACAGTGTAAAAAGAAGATGCAGGTCCTGAAACAGGCAGGCAGATGCATACAAGTGGCTAAGGCTGAATGTGCATCGTCAACTTGGGGTTTTCTTGGGTTTTATTTGAGGCTTACCCACGCAATTGTAGCTTTCCAAACACATTTTGCTGGAAATGTAACGTACAAAAGAGGGTTGTGAAGTGAAGTTTTGTTAGCAATATATGTTTCGGGCCTCGAGGGAGGTGGGGTATTTGGCCTAAAATTCCATTTTGGCAGCTTTTCGACACATTATATGCACGGTTTTTTGTTTTGTTCCTTTTTGCACCGTGGGCTTCAAGACTCCAACCAATTAATTCTGGGGGAAAAAAAGCTTAATGTAGGCTACTCCTCAAGAAGGGGTCTATTTTAACATTCAGTAAACAGATAATCCATTAGGACAACAATATACATTGTGGCAAGTGCTATCCTAGGCTTTTTTTGTCAGCCCTTATTTATAGCCTTTTGATTCCGCTTCCCTCCTGGGGTGCGGTTTCAATCATTCTCCCTCCAATCTTTGTGCCCGTATTCATGGCAGCCTGAAAACAAAGTAAGAAAGAAGCTCGTACGCAGCGCTCCATTCGCGGCCAGTTCCTCCTCTATAGCCAGCAGCCGGTTGTATTTGGCCACCCTTTCTCCGCGGGACAGACCTCCCAACTTGAGGAACCTGGCACCCAGGCCCACAGCCTGCAACGAGAAAATCCTCACTTGGCCAAGCGAAGTCATTCCCAAAAATTAAACACCGTATCCTCAGTCTAACTGAGCACCCTCGTCTCAATGCTGAGAAAAACGGGGAAATAAAACCTCCCCGTGAAAGATCTGCCCGATGCAAACAGTAATTTTAGCTGGCATGTGAAGGGAAATTTTATGTGCAAAAGATTAAATATAGTAGTGTTAGGGATATTTGCTTACAGTGTTGTTACTACGCTGGAATGTTGTAAGTAACTCAGGTTTTTTTATAAATTAATGCAAGCAAATGGATCATACACACTTTTGAATATACTCCCTGCTTTGGCAAATTTCCTGTGTGCTCTCTTTACACTCAAAAGAATAACCATTCTCTGTGGGGAAAAAAAAAAAAACCAACCCCCTAGAAAAAGCCCATTTTGTAAAATGTTGTTTCTTTCTCAAGCACAAAAACGCTTTCTCCTTAAAAAATAGTGCATGTTAAAAGCAGTATTTTTGCAATTCTGCAATTGAACAGCTTTCAGTACTTACCAGATCCACGAGGCTCTCATCTGAAGATTCTCTATCTGGACTTCCTAATATGGAAATATGTCTTTGACCTATATATAACAGGAGGGAACACCTTCATTAGAGTATATTTTATATATTTGACACAGAAATTGTTTGGACTTCTCTTTTTTTTTTTTTTTTTTTTTTTTTTTTTAAACCCTTGGGCTATGCAAGCTTAAACAGGAGTAAACCCCACCTGACAAAAATGTAAACTGCATTGCTATATTTGCTGTTTGCTACATTAACATTCTGTTTTATTTTCAGATGGATAAGGGAACATTTAACATCCTGTCCTGGTCTCTGCCTGTCACTGATCTGTCTGAACAGGCTGTGCTATTTATTTTAAATGTGTTCCTCACAATAGTAATTATTTTTCTTCCATTCCAAAAAGACTTTACCATCCTGACTGAATGGAATCTTTTAGTTGCTATTTACTCACTCTGATACAGTGATTCTGGGTGTTTTTTAAGGAATAAGAAAAAAAGTAAGCTATATTAAATTTGTTCACTATTCCTTAGGTATAAAATTAATAAAGGAAATCTGATACAAAGAGAAATCTTACATGTGAAGCTGCACAGTTTCTTAATACTTACCACAAAGGCTCAATAATATGTTTTCAATAATCAATCTAAATACATTTTTAAACAGTTTGCACACATCTGAATTTTTAAATTATTAATGCTAAAATTATTTAAAATTTAGATGAATTGACCACATCTCTCTTATTTTCTTTAATTCTGATATCTAACTGCATGTCACTTAGCTGCAGTGTCAAAGGGCACCCACGTTCAAAACACTCACAGTGTATTAACTGGCAATAGCTGAAACCTTTACTGCTGTTTTAAGACCCTTGACAGGGATTTTGGAATCAAAACTCGAATTTCGGTTTGTTCTGACAAGTGCCTTCTAAATTAGAATTTATTAATTAGAATAATTAAATAAAACCACGTCATATTTACAGGTGTGGCTTGCAGGGTTTGGTTTCAGCCTTTCCCCCTCTACTCACCATCCAGAATTGCAGTCAGTTCTATGAGCTCTGACACCGTGGTCTGGTTAATGTATTTCAGGACAACACCACTGCACATTGCTATGTTTATGTTTTGGTCAGTTTTGAGTTTGGAAATTTGTGTGGCAGCATCTTCAGCAATCAGGAAGCATTTGGAACCAAGGGCACGACAGATGCTGCTCCACTGGTCTCTGTCCTGCACAAACAAATTGAGCAAACAACTGCAGTTTAAAAAACTAAACTGAATGGAAACGCTAAAAATCAAATAATAATCTGGGTTTAATCCTAAATATGCCCTTCATATAAACATACTACATTTTATACTGTATTTTAAATCTGTCTGCCTAAGAAAAACATACCACTTGGATTTTCCTTGGGTTTTAAGATTATGTTAGAAAACATACATTTTAATCTGAAATTAATCAACACTATTTGCACAAAATATAGTTAAAATATTTAAATTAAATTAAGTGTAGGGGTCTGCTATTTTGATTTCCCTACTGAAATTTATTTCATTTTGATGGAACATAAAATAATTTTTTATTGTTTTATTCAAATGACTCATTTTTGTGTTATATTTCAAGTGTCACAGTTGTTTGAACATAAAACAATGAACAGGAGACATAGACTCAATGGCAGGACCCATAGGGAACAGAGGAATACAATGCTCTCTTTTCTAGCAAAGCTCCATTTTTCAGGGTCTTTGTTTCTTTATTTTAATGCATTGCCCACATGCTACATGGTCCAGGCTAAATAAAGGACAAGGATATGTAAAGAAATTTGAAAGAAGAAATTTATGAATTAATTTGCTTGCTTTGTATCCACAGAATGCAAAGTTCTCATATTAGAAACATCTCTATTTCATAATTCTGCCATTCTTGGTCTGTGGATCAGTTTTTTGTACTTATGTACTTGCAATCAACATCAGATGCCATTCCTGCATGGATTTCAAGCCTGTGCATAAGAGAAAATGAAGTTTTTGACACTTGAACAAATGTTTTAAATTTTAACACCAAAGTGGTCTGGTGTCTGGCAATGAATTATTGAATTGGTACCAGAACTAATCCTGAAGGATCTGATTATCAGGGGCAAAGATGTGGCATGGGTAAACCTTGGAGATTTGGGAGGAGGAGGAGGAGGAGGAGGAGGAGGAGAGGCATTTCCCTTAATTCTGGACTCTGTTCCCATCTGCCCTGCACTGTGTGCTGCAATTCTCCTGCTGATTCTCATCTTGCACACATTTTCCTTCATAAGAATTCTCCAGGACGTTTGCAGCCCTGGCAGGAGTGGGGAGTGACCTGGTGTTTTGGAACGTGGTAACTCAGGGAGTCAGACTGAAACAACACAGGGAGGCAAGGCTAGCCAGAGTGAGGTAATCCCAAACACAGTTATTCAAAAAAATGAACTTTTCAAGTTCCAGTTGAGGACAAAATCAGATGGATTTGGCAGTTCATCAGTTTTAGAATTATTGATTCAGGCACTGGGCAGATTCACAGAGCCAACATCACTTTGCTTCTCCCTTCAATCACAGTCTTTGTGTTTTGTTCATGAAAATGAACTCCCTATATTTATTTTTAAGAAGATAAAGTGAAATTTGACACCAAGAGCAAATTTTGTATTAAGCTGGGCAACTGCAGAATCTGAGTCTACAACTGTAGGTTCTGCAGCAATTAAGTTTTTATTCTTTTTTTTAACACATGGAAATTTAACCTCATGTACAAATGTGAATATTTAAATTTATACAATCTTTTATCCATCTACAGCTTGATAACATGCTTAATATTATTGTGCTTTATTGTTGTACTTGATTGGCCACATTAATTAACTCCTCTAACTTTGATAACAGAGGTGTCTTACTCCCACCTGAAAAATTTTGCTGAGCAATGCTGCCAGTGAAAGGACTTTGGTTATAAATATCCATCACAAAAAACTGCAGCAATAACATTCTGGTGAATTTTTGGCTGAATATACAACAATGTTCAAATTTTTTCTTCTCCACCTTAATATAACACATCAATTTTTTTGTAATACACTTAAATTTTACAATTTCACCTTATAATTTGAATAGTGTACATAAAGAGGAAAATGTAATCAAAATAACAGTGGTTTAGCAAGTAGAATCATATTTAAAAAAGCAAATTCTTGTAATTCTTTAAGGTATGTGTACTCACTGTATTCTGTCAGGATTTTCCATCAGAAATTATGTAAAAAGTATTGAAAAATTTGGATATTGCTAATAAAATATATTCAAATAAATTGTTAGATGCATTTTCCAGGAATGTTTTTGTGCTTAAAAACTTGAAAATCAGAAGCTTTGTATTTTATATTTCTTGCAAAAATGAGAAAAGGTTAGTGATATGCATTGAACAGTACCACCAGTTTTTAAAGGGCTGCACTGTGGTATCTTACCTCTTTTCTTAAGGGATCTATTAATGCAGTAATAAAAGGAAAATTCTTAATCATTTCCACATACATGGCAACCATTTCATCAGGACTTTTGAATGTTCCGGTGAGTATTTCGTATTTCCCTTTATCCTAGAAAGCAAAAAGCATGGAAGATGAGGAATGAGGACCCTGAGCAGCAGAGTGCAGCCATCCCTGTGAAGGCAGGGGCTGGCTGTGCTTTGGTCAGGAGGCATCCACTCCTCTGCCTCACCCTGTGCCTGAGCTGGCAGCACACTGGTACAGAAAACTCTGCCTCGGGTGACACCGTGGCTTCCAGCAGGCTCATGCCAAAGGAAGAGAGATCTATTTCAGCATTTCAGCCAGTCTCACACAATTGCAGCATGAAATTAGCAATATTTGACATTTTTATTGAATCTCGTGTGAAAAAAAAATCTCATTTTTCTCTCCCCCCTCCCCCCCCAAAAAAAAGGCGATTTTTTTTCTCCTCATTTTGATGAAGAAAATATTGCTGGGGCAAGGAGTGCACTCTCAGTGCCCAAAACCAAGATACTGCCTTTCCCTGCTTCTTTCCCCTTTCAAAAAAAAAAAAATAGACTCATTTAAAACCAGTCTCATCATTCTGGGAAGCACAAACTGCAGCCTGGGAGGAATTTTAAGGGCACACTAAAACTGTGCCAGGATATCCACTGCTTTAGTGGCTTTGACAGTTCAATAACAGAAAGTTACAGAATTACTGGTAATTCAATGGTTAAGATTTTGCACATTCTGTTATAGGATACAAATATCACAGCCAGGTGATATCTTTTGCTTTCACAAAAGATATTGGTAATGGAAGCTTTGGCACTACAGAACACCCCAACACACAAAAAGCTCATGAGGTACTAAAAGGAATTGGAAGTTTCTTTTTCTGCTTGGAAAAAAATCTGATTGATCTTGGAATGAGGGGCAAGAACTGTAAGACTTTATCAGGAGATAAACAGATTTTGTCAAATAAAAACATAAAAAACTGATATTAAAACACTAATGTTGATGCACAATGAGATGGGCACTAATGTGTACATAAACATGCCATAGTAAAAATACAAGCAAATGTTAGGACAGTTTGAAGCAAACAAGAGGTGTGGCTTAAGATAATGGAAAAACAAGCAGATTCAGCCAGAATTCATAAATGCAGAGATAATTCTTTCTGTTTCCTTGATTGCTATCTTAAAAAAAGGGAGTTAGGAGCTTGTAGGTGAGTCTGCAACATAATAATAATGTTAACAAAGCTACATTTATTTTAAAACCCAAGAAAATTGAAATTGAAAAATAACTTACATAATCCATTAATTCATGAGCAGCACAATTTATTGCTAAGTACAGGTCTGTTCCCAGCTCCAGACCTAAACTGTTGCAAGCTGCTTGCACTTGCAGTAGCAGTTGTTCCAGACTATCATATCCTGTTATCAGGCAGCCTAAGTGTGAAATTCTTTTTAAGGGTCCTGGCTGAAAGCAAAACAAAAATAATCATTTTATTTACACACATAGTTATTATACATATTTATGGGCTCTTTTTCATTGTCATTTCAGTCTGCATTTAGTCATCAAATTATAGATTTGTTCTCACAAATCTCCTTAGTGGCTTTAAGGACAATTCTCTAGGAAAGAGGGATTATCAAGTACTAATGAGTAGAGAGCAACAGTCCTTGGAAATATTTCTACTCATGCAGATCTCAGTCTTGCATGGCTAGCACTGGTTTAAAAAATTATCTTAAAGGCACTCTTAACAACCACTGGGTTGCCATAAATGCTCTGGTGCTATGGACCAACCCTTTTCCCAAAAAAACATATCCTCCACTTTTAAAAGCTTTTACTCATTAATCCTCAACTACAACATTGATATTGACTCTGGAGAGTGCTCAAGAAACCTCAAGAATCTTCCAAGAGTTCTAGAAGGAACAAATTTCATAGAAGGGAAATACCTCCAGCCCAGCTGCACACACTTGCCTGCTTCAGGGAGAGAATTGCTGGACATCAGCCACATTTGCAAGTATTGAGCAAATATTTCATGTATTTCCCTCTGTTGTCAGCTTTTCTGTAGTTTTCCAAACATAGATTTTTAACTTTAAAGTTTGGGGAATTTTGGATTATAAAGATGAAGCAATAGACAGCAAAAGATGCCTCAGTTTTCCTGCACTTCAGATGGAGGTTAAATCTGCAATTTCATGTGGTTTTCAAGATGCCCATATGCTGTGCCTTGTTACATTCTATTAAAAGCATTGCTTATCTGTATAAAAACATTTTTCTCTGTCTAGTTTTCACTCTCTTAACCTAAATAAGTTCTTCTTCACTGCCTAGTTTGTAATTTCTCCTTTTTTTCCCTCACAAAAAAGTTCAAACTAACATGGTGCCTTTATCAGTTTTAAATTCAGTTTCACTGTCTCCTTTAGTTTTCTCCTACTGAAATGAAAGGAATTTTTTTTAGAGAATCTAATGCATTGTTTCCTTGTGTATATCTTACAGAAATATTCTACTTTATGATTGCTGTACATATTGTGGTACTGATATGGAAACTACCCACCAGAAAGACATTGGCCAGCACTTCATGATGATGAGTTTTTTGTTGTTTTCAGGAAGGTATAGTCAGAAGAATTTAAATTTTTATGTAAAATATGAGCATTTGGAATACTGAAGTCTTGCCTTGACCTTTCCAAAATGGTGATGTAGATAAATGCTTCCTTTCTTAAGAACATTTTAAGTTCCCTGCTGCTGTTAATACCTCGTTGAAGGCTTAGAGAGAAAATCTCTTTTCTTACCTGAGCTTTGTGCCCTCTTCCTCTCCTACTCTCTGCTCGTGAAGCAGGCTGTTGGGAGTGAAAGAAGATAAAATCAATTCCATGGAAAACTACAAAGAAAAAG